CAGCCGGCACTGTCTGGCTGACGGCACCCTGAGGAGACCCACTCTGTGGGAGCGTACCGGCCGATGGGAGGTAATCTGCGGCAGAAGGCGGTCTCGGAGATATCCAGGTCCGATGCCATGGAGCGCTTTGAAGATGATGACCAACACCTTGAAGCGCACCCGGAAGGCCACCGGCAACCAGTGCAGCTCGCGCAGCAGCCATACCCATAAGGCTGTCCAGAAAGAAGCAGAACTAAAGCATTTGTTGTTGTTGTTGTTGTTTTTTAAAAAAAATCTTAGGAAGATTAACTTTACTCTGACGAAAGATCCCCACGACTAACCGGATGTGGTTGGGTGAGTTGTGATGCGGTCTGTTTCCAGAGCTGAATCTTGTGTTTCCTTTTCACCAAGAGCTCCTGGGGATAAAGAAAGAGGTTCCTCTGGAGGAGAAAGGGGTGTCAGAGTCTTTGGATTTGTAGACTTGAGAAGAGAGCTGTTGTTATCCGGAAGTGCAGCTCCAGCGCCATTCTGGTTCATTTGAGCAAATGCATCCAAGGAACCGAGGGCGCAATCGAAGTCTTTGTAGTGCTGGATCTGCTGCCGAATCCATTTAGACAACCCTGGGGAAAGGATATAATGAATTAGAGATGAATCATTATTACATTACAATTACATTATAATTATACATTATACCAGGGGTCTTCCACTTGGCCCTTTTATGACTTGTGGACTTCAACTCCCAGAATTCCTCAGCCAGGCACGCGTGCCTGGCTGAGGAATTCTGGGAGTTGAAGTCCACAAGTCATAAAAAGGCAAAGTTGGAAGACCCCCTGCATTATACACTAAAGAGCTGCGGTGGCGCAGTGGTGAGAATGCAGTACTGCAGGCTAGCTCACTGCTCACTGCCAGGAGTTCGATGCTGACGGACTCAAGCTTGATTCAGCCTTCCATCCTTCTGAAGTTGGTAAAATGAGGACCCAGATTGTTGGGGGGCAAGATGCGGACTCTGTAAACTGCTTAGACTGTAAAGCACTGTGAAGCAGTATATAAGTCTAAGTGCTATTGCTATTACTTCCTTCCTTTCCTTCTTTCTTTCTCTCCCTCCATTTTCTCCTTCCTTCCTTCCTTCCTTCCTTCCTTCCTTCCTTCCTTCCTTCCTTCCTTCCTTCCTTCCTTCCTTCTTTAATCCTTAGTAGAATAGAGCTGGAAGGGACCTTGGAGGTCTTCTAGTCCAACCCCCTGCTTAAGCAGGACAACCTATACCATCTCAGACAAATGACTGTCTAGCCTCTTCTTAAAAATCTCCAGTGATGGAGCGCCCACGATTTCTGGTGGCAAGCTGTTCCACTGGTTGATTGTCCTCACTGTCAGGAACTTTCTCCTTAATTCTAGGTTGCTTCTCTCTTTGGTCAGTTTCCAACCATTGTTTCTTGTCCTGCCCTCTGGTGCTTTGGAGAATAAAGTGACCCCCTCGTCTTTGTGGCAGCCCCTCTGATACTGGAACACTGCTATCAGGTCACCCCTGTTTCTTCTTTTCTTTAGACTAGCCAAACCCAAATCCTGCAGCCGTTCTTCGTATGTTTTAGTCTCCAGGCCTTCCTTCCTTCTCACGGTGGCGCAATGGTTAGAATGCAGTATTGTAGGCTGACTCTGCCCACTGCTAGGAGTTAGACCCTGGACAGCTCAAGGTTGAGTCAAGCCTTCTATCCTTCTGAGGTTGGTAAAATGAGGACCCAGATTGTTGGGGGCAATATGCTGACTCTGTAAACTGCTTAGAGAGGCTGTAAAGCACTGTGAAGCGGTATATAAGTCTGAGTGCTATTGCTATCTTTTCTTGAACAGCTCCAGTGTTGTAGCACCCACAACTTCTGGAGACAAATCGTTCCACGGATTAATTGTTCTCACTGTGTGTAAATTTCTCTTTAGTTCTAGGTTGCATCTCTCTTTGATCAGTTTCCATTCATTGCTTCTTGTTCTGCCTTCAGGTGCTTTGGAGAATAGCTTGACTCCCTCTTCTTTGTGGCAGCCCCACAAAGGGGGGGGGGGGTTTGCTGGTGTCCAAGGGGTCGCAAAGAGTCGGATGTGACTTGGCAACCGAACAACAAATGAAACTGGGCTCACAAACCTAAACCCATTAGAACCAAATAAGTTGGATCCAATTTGTTGTTAACGATTATGTCTCTAAAACAAATGTTTGCTGAATTTTCAGACCAAGTCATACAATCTCAGAAAACAGAAGAAGGTTGAGGATAACTCCGGGATTCAAGTTCTAATTTGTTTTTAAAAAATGTATGATCTCGCAAAACAGCAGAAGGATTCATGTTCTATTTTTTTTTAAAAGCACCATTATTATGTCCCCTAATAGCTCAAGGCTCAATTTTTTTTTTATTTGCCACGTTCCCTTCCTCTCCCACTTCTCCAGGGTCAGGGAGAAGAGAAATTCTGGAAAGGTTCCGGTGTCCTTAAGTCCTCAGCTGTTCACTCAAGGACACCTTGGGAAATTAAAGGACTCTGCTGATGCCCAATTGGGCTGCTTGTTCTCCTGCCAAGGCAAGACAAAGGCAGCTGGGAAGAAGTGTTTCAGAGATGTGACGGAAAGAGCAACCGTCCAAGGCTGCTTTTCATAGACGTGGAGGGGAGACAACGTCCTTCGTCTGCTCACCGAAGAGCAATGATAATCTTTCAGCCTCGGTCGAGTCCAAGAGCCGAAATTTTAAGAGCAAATCTTTGAATTAAGCAAAGAATAAACCTCAACTGCTACTACGTAAGACATTCACAATCCTTTTTTGATTTTTATTTTGCTGGTGTACAAGGAGTCCTCCGACTTACGGCCACCACTGAGCCCCAGATTTTCACTGCTAAGCAAGAAGTGAGCTTTGCCCCATTTTACAACCTTTTTTTGGTTTTTTGGGCCACAACTGCTATGTGCAGAATCCCTGGCTATCCTCAGCCTTCTGCCGTTTTGTGAGACTGTACAACCTGGACTGAAAATTCAGCAAAAAAAAAATTGTTTTGGAGGTATAATCGTTACAATGAATTGGATCCAACTGGCTTGGTTCTAATGGGTCTAGCTTTGTGATCCCGGTTTCGTTTGTTGTTGTTGTTCAGACACGAAGTTGTTTCCGACTCTTCGTGACCCCATGGACTATATAGCACAGGGCTTTTCAACCTTTCCACCCATTATACCACTTTTAGGATATGGCAACGTCCGAGTACCACCAGTCGCCTAGCAAGGTGTCAAAAACCTGATGATCCCCCCCAAAAAGGGAAAAAGTGATAAAGTACAGATAGTCCTCGACTTACAACAGTTCACTTAGTGACTGTTCGAAGTTACAATGGCACTGAAAAAAGTGCCCCCCAAGCCACAGCCGAGCAAGACACCTGCCTGCCCACCCGGCCGCGCTCTTCCTCCTGTCCGAGGTTTCCATTGTTGTGAGCATTTCTGTTGAGGATTGGCATCAGGGGTGGTGTGGGTGGGGTGTTTGGTTTTTATTCCCCCCGTCTGCTGGGTGGTTGCAGCAGGTTTTGGTCACTTCACATGACTCTGGGACACTGTGACCGTCATAAATATGAATCAGTTGCCAAGCATCTGAATGTAAATCACAAGACCCTGGAGATGCTGCAACATTCCAGCTGATCGGTGCTTCTTCTGGGCTCAGCGGAAGCGCCAGGATCAGCGCTGAGCTCTAGCTGGAGACTGGCGCTGATCCTGGCGCTTCCGCTGAGCCCTGACAGCCCTGCAGCTCCAGCCGTCTCTCGCTCAGGCTTGTGCGGTGCTGCCACCGGTTCAGCTCATTCCCCTCCCCCGCTACCACTTCTCTAGGATGGTCACGTACCACCTGCCAGGTGCCAATGTACCACAGGTTGTACCCGTACCACTGGTTGAAAAGCCCTGATATAGCACACCAGCCCCCCCCTCCTTGTGCGTTGCCACAGAAAAGAGAGGGTCAACCTATTCTCCAAAGCGCGTGAAGGCAGGACAAGAAGCAATGGATGGAAATTAAACAAGGAGAGAAGCAAGCTAGAACGAAGGAGAAATTTCCTGACAGTGAGAACAATTAATCTGTGGAAGGATTTGCCTCCAGAAGTTGTGGTTGCTGAAAGATTGCAGTTATTCAGTGAATCGTGTAGTCATTAAATGAATCTGGCTTCCCCCATTGACTTGGCTTGTCGGAAGCCAGCTGGGAAGTTTACACATGATGATCACATGAGCCCGGGACAGTGCAACTCTCACAAATACATGCCAGTTGCCAACTGCCCAAATTTTGATCATCTGACCGTGGGGGGGTGCTGGTCGTAAGTGTGAAGTCCCTTTTTTCAGTGCCGTTGCAACTTCAAATGGTCCCTAAACGATTGGCTGTAAGTCAAGGACTACCTGTACGATGAGTCCTGCAGATTTATTCTGAAAAAACTAAAACCTCTCTTCTGACAACCTGCCAGGACAGCAGGGTAAAATAAAAACAGAAATAATCACACAATAGAGAACGCTCCCTCAGCCAAAAAATTTAGCGTGAAAATTACGTGGGATCAATGTCCTTGTGTACATTGCGTGTGTTTGTGTGTGTACAGACATGTACGCACAAGGCAAAGGAGAGGGGAGAGGGAACGTGAGACATTCCACATGTGGGATTATAATTCCCATCTTTTCTCTCTCTCTCTCTCTCCCCCTGGCTGTTGGCCACACTGGATGAGTTACTGGGAGTTGAAAAGGAACAATCCTGGGATGGCTACAGGTTCCCCACACCTGTGAAACAGGCGCCAGTAAGTGATACCTTTTAAAGCTTCTTAGATTTCCTTTTGAATATAATTAATTCATAAATATTTAGTGCCTTCTCTGATTTAATGGGTCTTGTTTCAACAAGAAAGAGGTGAAGGAGGGGGGGAAAAATACCATTATAGCAAATACCAAATTGCAAAGGAAAAAAACAAAACAAAACAAAACGAAAAACCCCACCCGCCACTCATTGCATCTAAAATGACTGTGAAAGAGATTTTAATGAGAGTCACTGTCATCCTTTCATTTTACGCCCTTCGGTGACATGGCCCAAGCGGTTCATGTCGTGGAAACGGAGCACCACCTACTG